CCTACTCCGATATAGCCTATAGAATCGCCCAGTTGGACGGCCTAGTTGTACGTCGGCCCCATTTCCCCTAGCACATGCTGGGCGAATTCTAATACGGCGATAGTCTAAGTAACGCCCTCCAGACCTCCAGGGGTCGCGGTTTCACCCATAACCGCTATGCCTTAGGTCTTTCATTGGTTTGTGGTTTACCTCACCTAGTCCCGGCTTTCTTCAGCTAGTCTTTCTTCAACTACTTATCTCTCTTCAACAATTTTGAAAGTTCACTTATCTTTTTAAGGGGATTTCAACCCGTAACGAGAAAATCTCGGTACAAGTTTTACAACGCTTCCCATTACAGGAGCCCTAGTAGGAGCATAGTGGGGGTAGCGGAATGAGTCCAGTGGGGCTAGCAGAGTGAGTGCAGTGGGGATGAGGAGCGCCTCACATGGCGAGTGGGGAAATTCAAAATTTTTGTTAAGCTAAACCTTTTCCATTTGTTGCAATTTTATTCATCATTCAGTCATTTCTAGCACTAAGATGAAAGTGGAATGCGGGAATTAACGGGTAAACTTGAACAATATTTCAAGATTATTCAAATAATAGCCTCATGTGATATAAACCCTTATAAAATAGTCTTTCCCCTTCAACTTCGAAAGTTTGTTATAGACTATTAATGATCAATTTTCTTCTTCAAAAATTGTCTCAATTTTTCGCTGCGAAATAGAGAACAAATTATTTTTGTGACTTTAAATGTCGATTGAGAATTATTCGATCGGAACATGCAAATAAGGGCTTGCAAGAAACCTTTTTTTTCGTCTTTCATAACAAAGTTCATCATTAACTTACCATTTCCCTTCTCTCCGCCGATATTGCATGATACCGATAACCCATGAAAACGAGAACGCATCGAAAAAATTTAATAGAGGAATGCAATTTGTAGAGAATTTCTAATGATGATTCCTATGGAATTATGAGATGTGACTTCTTGAACCATAGTGTCATAGGCAAGTGGGGTGGAAATATTAATTTCAGAGAATTAAAAATAGTCAACATCTCTTGACTAGCTTCGCTCATCGCAACATATTCTGCTTGACAAGTAGATAGAGCATATGACTGTTTATGAGTTCTCCAAATAATTGAATCACCAAACAATTCAATTACAAAACCACACGTAGTCAATGATCCTTTGCAATCAGCAAAGCTAGCATCAGAGTATGCTTCTTTGATGAATTCTTGTATGGATTTGTATGAATTCTTATTTTGGGGAATGGCAATCTGTTAAATTTAGAAGCTAAACAAACCTCACAATCCATTATTGACTCGTCAAAAATCACTTTACTTAATTCTTTGTCATCCGGGAATTTTAATTGAATTGCTTTGAGATATGCTATTGATGCATGACCAAACCTTGCGTGCCACAGTAAGGCTTTATGATTATTACTACGAAGTTTGTCGTTATCATCCACAAATATATCAAAAATCTCGTCACTTTCGTAAAGATTCACTTCGTCTACATTATTTAATTCTTATCCCAAATTGACAAATCAATATTTGAGTGTATGAATGGATCTGAAGTTGTTTTAGGGTTATCTATACTAATAAAATTTTCTTCTCGTCCAATTTCCGATTGTCTACTCACTATCGTCTCGGTTGATAATTCTACAATTTGCTTGCCATCCTCAATTGGGATTCCCTTATCCGAAACTTCTTCATCAAATTTAGCTGTGACACTACGCGTCATATATTTTCTTATCTCTGTTTCACTTCCTACCATATTAGCTATAACTCGTCTAGTTCTATTCGTCTGGAATTGTTTACTAATCTTACTATATTTATCTGTTTCCAAATCTATAATCCAATATGGCTTTCTATACACACCGGAGATAAATAATTCATTAGAATGTGGGTTAAAAATGTCGATTCTTTTGTCGTCCAGATAAATTCCAAGACCCATTTCTGCAAAACGTCTTAATGACAGTAAGTTAGCTTGAAGAGCATCAGCAAATATAACCTCGTCTATCACAAATTTCTTTCCATTTAACAATTCGATTTCTACCTGACCCACTCCCTCCGTTTTCAAGTCCGCATTTTCATTTTTATTAGCACATTTGATCACACCCGTAGTTTGCTCGTCAATCGACTTGAATATTAGCTTCGAATTTGTTAAGTGCTCAGTAGCACCGGAATCTGCTAGAAATTCAGTGATAAACTTATTTTTCTGGATATTTACACCCACATGCATTGCCTGACCCACACATGTTTCATCGTTCACTTCCATGTATTCTTCTGAACAGTTCAAAATTGACTTATCCTTCTCTTTGCTTGAATCTTCCTTACTGGCCTTTGTATTGACTTTGAACTTAGAATGCCTGTTATCTCCCCTGCCCATTTGCTTATCAAATCTACCCCTTTGGCACTTCTTGTGTCATTCGTATAATCTGACCTTCTCTTCAGTGACCCAATTGCACGCCCAGATCCACGAAAAACTCTACCCCGCGAACTGTTATTTTTAGCATCTAATTTTGACATGTATGCCTCACCTGATTTTGGACACTCGATGCTGGTATGACCATATTCTTTGCATCGATAGCAAAGTTTTCCCTTTCTTTTGCCTCGACAGAATCGACCAACATGACCAAGACCTCCACACTCGAAACATCTCCCACCTTGAGCTGCAAAGTTTGCAGTTCTCAACTCACCGATGTCTGGCTCATTTTGTTTCCTGATTGCTTCTTCCTGCCTCATAACAGTTTTTAATTGATCATATGTCAAGGGTGGCTTATTTTCTATTTTAGCTGAGGACTGTAACAACTGTACCATTGGCGCAGACTTAATAATGGCATTATTGAACGCGTCTCTTTTCTCATTTTCAGACAAAGGGGTGGCATCAGGAAAATTTTCGTAATTACTAATAGCTTTTTCAAATTTATCGGAAAGTTCACCAGCTGTAAATTTAGTGATATCATATCTCATGCTAGTAATTTCTAGTCTTACAGAGGCTGCGGAAATGTTGTTTTCATATTTCTTGATTTCTTTGAGTTTGTTTAATATTTCAACAGTATCTTGCATTGATACTACTTTAGAATGATAATCTTTATTTATGTGATTAATTAGTATATCTCTCACTTCGAATTTATGCTCGTCCAAAGTATTTTGATCTCCACTAAATTTTACACTACTTTTTATTACATGTAATAGCTTGCGAGATCTTACTTCTGACTTGAAATAATCAAAGAAATTTTCATATCGAGTACTGCTATCTAATTTATAATCTCGTTTCACTGATGGCCCCCTGTCTAATAGATTGAGTTTAATAGTTTCAGTAACCACATCAGCATTGCTGTTTCTGGTGCTTCCACCATTTTGAGTCAGTCCTAGTGGTTCTAGATTTCCTAAATGTCTTTTAACAATGTTCTGAAATTTCTCATTTAACTCCCCATCCTCTTCATTCTTACCAGCATTGTTTGATAAATCTGACTCATTTCTTACCTCCTCACCCTGACTTTCATAGTCAGTCCACGTCAACATGTTCTCCAGATTTTGTTCGATGCAGGAAGATCCGTCACCCCAATCATTTTTCACTTCCTTGATGCTATCCAGCAACCAGCGACTCGTGTTGCTTTGAATATTTACAACTTCAACGAGTGCGCTGATCACCGAGTCCAGTTTAGTACAGGCTATTTCTAGCCGGTCCTGCACCGGAATTTCAGCTCGCGATTTATTTGGGTTATTTCTCGTCGGATTCTTTGTGTGAATTGGTGTTGAGTACCTTACGAGAACTTTTCGTTCTTCATATGCTGTACTTTCAATTTGGGGTTTATTGTTACCTGTTTTGAGAGCATCAACTACTACTGATTCATTAATGTCTCGTCCGGGCGGCACACCTGATCTTTTCTCCACGTCCTCGTCATTCTCGTCAACCTCAATGCCCTTACCATTCTCTTCCAGTTTCTCACCCCCGTCCATGCTCTCCACATCGTCACTTCTTTCACCGACCTCAGTAGTAATTGGTGGATGTTCCTCATAAACTTCAGGCATGATGAGAGGTGTGTTGGTTAGAAGCTTGTCTTCATACCATTTTGTCAGTGCTATCGACTGATTCTCCGATATCATGTTTTTACCTGTTATAATTAATTTAGTTTATGATTAGTTAATTATAATTTTATGAGAATTATAATTTGGTCCGCTGCTAACAAGATGAACACAATCATTGTTAGCATTAGAACTTTGAACACAAATTAGAAATGTACACAAAGCCTAATTTATGCCCAAAAACTAGATCAGTTTCAAACGTCGTACTGTCAAACGTGCTACCGCCAATCAACCGTATGGAACATTCTAATTTCAGATTTGATTCTGAAAACTATACATGTATATATATATATATATTTTATAACTAGTATTTTTATTGTAATTCGAATTTTTAGTGCTGGATTAAATTGCGAAGATATTGGCTAGCCAATATCCTCACTGTTTCGGCGAGAATTTAACAATAAAAAACCGATGGAGCACGGATGCGGGTTAAGGAGTGGGATTCTGGAGAAATGAGAGCGACACGAGACACGCTGAGTTTGTCACAAGGAAAACTGTTTATTCCGAGTCAATTTGAGATATGGGTCGAGAAATATACACAAAATCAGAGCCGCGAGCAAACACTGTTTCCGTTAAACACGGTAGAGAAAAACGATATGTTGAGATGCACACGCGGTTTAGAGATAACCGTTTTAGAGCAAAAAAATGACGCTGCACAGAGAACGACCGTTGTGAGTGAATAATAATAATGATTCGAGAAGACGAAGGTCAGCGCTACCGGTGCGTGGTTGGAGCACCTACATGGCAGCGCGGCCGGTCAGGCAGAGCGAGTCAAGGAAGTGCTGCCACCCCTTGGACCTGTCGAGTATGAGGCCGTTGCCTCAACATTCTCCCCCCGTCAGTAACCCAGTTGCTGACTGAAGGAGTAGAGCAGTACTTGAGGACCTAGAACACTAAGCAGAGATTAAACATGTCGAGAAAGACCAGTTCTAACTGGTAGAGATCGGCAATAGAACCAGTTTGGAGATCGGCCTGGTCAACGTCGTCGAGGCGGTCCTAATTGTCACAACTCTGGAGAGACCGTCCTTCCCAGGATGTAGAGCTGTGACACGAGCAAGAGGCCACTTCGATGGCGGGAACCGCTCGTCGTAGAGAAGTGCCAGGCTGCCGACTTTGACTTCGTTGGACGGATGATGCCACTTGGAGATGGACTGGAGCTGCTGCAGATACCCTGTAGACCATTGTTTCCAGAAGAACTGCAGCCTCTGCTGAATCAGTTGCCATCTAGAGAGCCGTCCAACGTTGAGATGATCCAAAGAAGGCTCCGGAAGAGCTATTGGAGCTTCTCCAATGAGAAAATGCCCTGGGGTTAAGCAGGACAAGTCATCAGGGTCTTCCGAGAGCGCTTGTAGAGGCCTGGAGTTGAGAACTGCTTCAATCTGGGTCAGCAGCGTCGAAAGTTCCTCGAACGTGAGAGTTGTATCACGAACCGTTCGAGCGAGATGATACTTCACCGACTTTACCGCTGCTTCCCATTTTCCTCCGAAATGAGGGGCTCCAGGAGGATTGAACGACCACCGCGTTCCATCCTTGAGACATACTGCAGAGAGATGCTGGAATTCCTTGGCGCCAGCAGAGAACAGCTTCTTCAGCTCCTTGTCAGCACCGAGAAAGTTAGTGCCACAATCACTGTAGAGATGTCTGCAGTACCCTCGACGACTTACGAACCTCCTGTAGGCCGCGATGAACCCATCAGCAGAGTAATCCGTGACAGCTTCCAGATGGAGAGCGGACGTGGCCATGCACACAAAAATCACCAACCAGCCCTTCTGGGTCTTGTGACCACGCCCCTTCCACGTCTTGAGCGACACTGGTCCGGCATAATCCACACCAGTGTTAGAGAAAGCCCGATCCGACACAAGACGTGCCACTGGAAGCTGTCCCATCAGCTGTTGAGCTCGAATCCCACGATGACGCGCACATTCAACGCACTTGAGGATGAAGGATCTCACTGGTAGACGACGTCCAATAATCCAGTAAGCCCTCCTGAGATGCGCCAACGTGAGTTGAGTTCCACCATGCAGCGTTCGCTGATGAGAGTCCCTAATGACAAGCTCTGCGAGCGCGGAACCTTTAGGGATGATCGCCTGATGCCTACTCTCTGGTCCTAGAGTTGAGAACTTCAAACGCCCGCCCACTCTGAGAACACCCTGTTGGTCGATGAAGGCCGTGAGCTTGGTCAACGGATGAGACTTCTTCAGTTGGAATCCGTGAGAGATAATGTCACACTCGGCTTGGAGATGAAAGGCTTGAGTCGCCTTGACCCAATAAAGCCGAGCTGCCTCGATGCTTTCAGGGCTAAACACTGCAGGGACAACAACAGCCTTCTTCCTTCCCAACTTCCGCATCATATTCCCTGCAACCGTTTGACAAATTGCTGTGATTCGCAACAATTTGTAGAGAGAGGAATATCGCGTGCAAAGATCCCAGAGACTTGACCTCGCGAGAGAAGCAGTTAGAGTCACCCCAGGCTTCTCCTCGAGATTTGTTGACGGGTCCAATCTTGCGCTCCCTTTCGGCCATTGAGAAGAATCCTTGCGTAGCCATTTTGGGCCCGTCCACCACAAATGATGGGCATTGAGTTGAGCTACCGAAATGCCTCGAGATGCACAATCAGCAGGATTCTCCTTCCCACTGACGTACCTCCAATTCGCTTCCTGCACGAGTTCCTGAATGCTGGCTACTCTATTGTGGACATATTCCTTCCACCTGGAAGGATGAGCACAGATCCACGCAAGAGCAACAGCTGAGTCTGTTCACAAATGTACCATAGCGGTACCAAGGTTGAGCTGAACAATAACGACCTTGTGAGCTTGGCTAGAATGACTGCGGCGTTGAGCTCAAGACGCGGAATGGTGAGCTTCTTGAGAGGAGCCACCTTGGTTTTAGCAATAGCCAAAGAGATGCTAACACCATCCGCACTCGTCACCTTCAAATAAACCACCGCAGACATCGCTAGTAGAGACGCATCTGAGAAGCCATGGATTTCCACCTGAGATTCCTTCCTACACCCCAGCCAACGAGGGATCGAGAGTTGTTCCACTTGAGACAATTCTTCACGAAATTGAGCCCATTTCTGGACCAGATGCGGGGACAACTCATCATCCCAATCTTTTTTCTCCAACCAGAGTTGCTGGAGTAGAGCTTTCGCACGAATCACCACCGGTGATAGCAATCCTAGAGGATCGAAGAGTTGAGCAATCTCGGACAGAATAATCCTCTTCGTTGTCTTCGTGTCGGCTGAGAGATGGATAGAGAACTTCAATCGATCTGTGTTGGGATCCCATTTCAGACCAAGGATCTTAGTGACGGAGTCCTCTAGCGGCTTCAGACTCTGAGAGAAACCGTCCGGTGTCAGAGAACGAAGTAGAGACGGACTATTCGAGTGCCACTTCGCTAGAGGAAATCCACCGGCCCAGCAGAGTTCCGTCACTTGCTGAGCTACAAGATGGAGATCATCTTCCTTCTCGGCTCTACCACAGATATCATCCACATAGCTGCCACTGGTCAACGGTGAGATAGGCAGAGGGAATCGCTGTCCCTCGTCCTTGACCAGCTGGTCGAGAACCCTACAGGCGAGAAATGGAGCAGACTTGGTCCCGTAGGTGACAGTGGTGAGCTGGTAGGTGCTGATCTGGCCCTGAGAATCGCGCCACAAAATTTGTTGAAGAGGCCAGTCTTCCTGATGCACCTTGATCTGACGGAACATCTTCGTGATGTCCGTCATAAAGATGTACTTGCTCTGTCGAGACCAGAGAAGCACGTCAGAGATGTCCTTTTGCAATTTGGCTCCAGTATGCTGCATGTCGTTAAGAGACTACCCTGAGCTTGTCTTACTGGAGCCATTGAACACTACTCTCAGCTTTGTAGTTTCACTACTTTCCCGGAGAACGCAATGATGAGGAAAGTAGTATGTAGGAGCAGAAGAGTGAGATTGCCTGAGAGACGAGCACCGACCGGGACCCTGATATGATTGCCCCCCCTCCGGGACCCTCAACCCTCCTGAAGCCGAAGCTTCATGTGCCAAGGTCATCCCGTCAGGTTGACAACCCAAGACCCGAGAAGCATATGAGGCAGGCAGAACAGGAGCACGCACCATGTGCCCCAACTCTTCATACTCCTTGAGAAAATCACTGTAAAGCTGTAGAGAATTCTGATTCTTTCCCAACCTCCTGAGCAGGCTCGAGAGACACGCCTTGGCGCGGCCTAGAGAATCACCGAGCTCTGACGGAGAACGAGCAAGAGGCAGTCGAACAACATAACGCCCCGAGCGATCTCGAACATGGGTGCGCTGAAAGAACTCCTCACAATCTGCCTCTTCCTTCGTGAGAACACCATCATTGCCTTCAGTTTTAGAGACTTCCTCCTGCTGCCAGAACGAGGTGAGAAGATCGCCAAGTTCCTCATTGCTGACAGAGACGTGATTTGAGCTTGCCGCGGGGATCACTGCGGATGTAGGTCCGAGAACCACCCACCCGAAGAGAGTAAGCATCGCTATAGGGGAGTCTGACGGCCCCTTGATAACCTGCGGCTCCACAATCGATCCAAAGAAATCTGCGCCAATGAGAAGATCAACAGGTCTTGACGTCAGATAATCAGGATCAGCTAACTCCAATCCTCTGAGATGCTCCCAATGTTGAGTTTGAGAGACCGTGAACGAAGGCAATGAAGATGTGAGATGATCGAGTACATAGGCCTTGATGAGAATCTGATTACTTGAATACAGAGACTTGAGAGAAAATCGAGAAAAACCATTAGATGAAGACTTTGATCCACTAATACCAACGACCGGTAGCAAAGCTGGAGATACCGATAAGCCGAGCTTCCCCACAAGGTCATTTGTAGCAAACGTCAGCTCTGAACCAGTATCCAACAGCATCCTAACCTCGTGAAAAGAGCCATCGTCCAAGACGAGCGAGGCTAGCGCTGTGGCGAGAATAACACCTGGTCTGAGCTGCAGAGAGACATCACGATTGTTCGGTGCTACAAACGGAGAATTACTCGCCAGAGTCGGCCGTAGAGAATGGTCACTTATCGACGACGACTCTGGCGCAATCGTTGGTAGAGTACATCATGGTTGAGCCATGTCAGGCCTCGAGACAGTGGACTGTATCGGTTGGTTGGACTGAAGAGCCTGCGATGTGTGAGGAGCCTGCAGAGTTTGATGAGGCTGAGGAACCCCTTGCTGTGCCGACTGAGGGCGATTGATATGAATCATCGAGTGATGATTCTGTCGACACACGACACAAGTCTTCTTGAGGCTACGGCAATTCTCTCTATTGTGCCTCCCCAAGCAATTAAAGCAGCGACGCTTGAGGACTACAAACGATCTCCTCTCTGTAGGAGATAAAGCCTTGAATTTTGGACATTTGTCCAGAGAATGCTCCTCTTCACACATCGGGCAAGCACGAAAACACATCTCCGCCCAACCTTGAGACTGCGACCTTTGAGCAGCTTGAGACGTACTGCTAGTAGAGACATTCACCCCTGCAGGCTGCGACGCTGGATTAGCTGACACGTTGAGCACTCGGGCTGGTTGAGCTCCTTGGCTAGGTGGATACACTTTGGTCGGCCTAAGCTTCGAAGCCTGTTGAGGATTCGTAGAGAGAGACCGAGAGGTAGCCGACTGAGATGGAGGAGCGTGCATTTCAATTCTCTCCTTCGCCCTGGCCCGGCTGAGAACAAAGTCCTTGAGAGTCGCATAAGTGGGAAAATCCGTAGACGAGCCTATCTCTATTTCCCAATCCTCCAGCGTCTTGGAGTCCAGCCGACCTGTCACGAGATGGACAAGCATGTCGTCCCAATGCTTGACAGGACGTCCGAGAGACTCCAAAGCATTCAACGCTTCAGCTACAGAGTTGAGAAGTACGTTAAACTCCCTGGCTGAGCGATTGACGACCTTTGGAGCAGAGAAGAGCTTCTCCAACTGAGTGGAGATGAGCAACCTTTCGTTGTCGTACCTCGACAAGAGAGTATTCCACGCTGGCATGAAGGAGTCTTGCGTCACTGGCAAGGTAGAGATGAGCTGCTTGGCCTCGCCAGTGAGAGAAGTGAGTAGATAGTGGAATTTCTCCACGGTAGAGAGAGAAGGATTACCGACAACCATAGAGAGGAAGAGATCCTTGTACGGAGTCCACTCCGAGAACTCCCCTGAGAATGTCGGCAGAGAAATCTTGGGCAATTGCCTCTGAGTCACCTGCGCCGATTGAGTTGTGGCAGATGGCCGACGGAACGACTCAGAGAGGTCAATTGACTCGTCCAGTCCTTTGATCAACCCCATAAACGTAGTTCGAGCGGCTGAATACGTCACGAGACATTGATCATAAACCCCCTCTTTCACGTACGCATGGTCGAGAACTTCCTCATTATCTTTTACCGTCAACAGCTTGAGATGCAACGCGTCGAACATGCTCCAATGATTCTCGAGCATGTCCAGCTTGGACTGGAGCTCAGTCACTGTGAATTCATTCACGTTCGCAGCGACTGATTCAGCCCTCAAACTCTCAATAAATTTCGCCCTGCTGGCCTGGATCAGGAGTCTCCCTTTGAAAGACATGCTAACGCTAGAGAAACGCAACTAAGCGAGAGAACGCCCAAAAAAACAAAAGTCTCACACCGCAAGCGATAGCTAGTAGCAAAACACGGAGAACTTCGTAGCAAAAGCAGTGCAATAAAGCAGCAAGCAAGAGAAATGCAGTGGTAATCAGGAAAAAGCAGCGGCAATCAGGAAAAATTAATTAAAATGAATTAATATAATTAACTTCCCTTTGAGAAGTTCCAATTGCTGTAGAGATGCTCCGTTCTGCGTTGAGAAGTTCCGTCGGCAAGGTTGTAGGCCTAAAAACCACGTGTCGTGCGTCAAAATGGCCGGTCTAGACCACTTGAGGGTGTGGCCTGATGGGTGGAGACTCGAGGGCGGAGCGGTGGGCGGAGCGCAAGGCGTTGCGGTGGGCGGAGCAACCGAGTATTTGGCGGCCCGCCTGTAACCCACGTTTTTCACCGGAAATGCACTAACAAGTTCCACTCACTAAAAAACCACTTAATTAACCACACATCCGGCTCGAAGGACCAATGTTTCGGCGAGAATTTAACAATAAAAAACCGATGGAGCACGGATGCGGGTTAAGGAGTGGGATTCTGGAGAAATGAGAGCGACACGAGACACGCTGAGTTTGTCACAAGGAAAACTGTTTATTCCGAGTCAATTTGAGATATGGGTCGAGAAATATACACAAAATCAGAGCCGCGAGCAAACACTGTTTCCGTTAAACACGGTAGAGAAAAACGATATGTTGAGATGCACACGCGGTTTAGAGATAACCGTTTTAGAGCAAAAAAATGACGCTGCACAGAGAACGACCGTTGTGAGTGAATAATAATAATGATTCGAGAAGACGAAGGTCAGCGCTGCCGGTGCGTGGTTGGAGCACCTACATGGCAGCGCGGCCGGTCAGGCAGAGCGAGTCAAGGAAGTGCTGCCACCCCTGGGACCTGTCGAGTATGAGGCCGTTGCCTCAACACTCACAAACACTCAATTACATGCATTTCTCGGCTCTTTCTCGTCCTGACCTCTTGTCAACTCACGTCGACTCACATTAACGCACGTCAACTTGTAACACTTGATCTTGTGAGTTTTCAGTAATAGAGTTTCCTCTATCACTTCGAGAATAACATTCTCTCCTCTGTGAAACTTATCGAATCCGAAGGAAGTAGTCAAGTTCCTCCACAATTCCCACAAGTCGTCACCTGTGGCAATTTTTCATCAAATTAATGATTACGATTCAATTTCACAGTGAGGTGCATGTTAATTCATATTTTCTTTTCCTCGTCGGGTTTCGTTGGAACACGTGCTCTCATGCATGAGCAATATTTTATGTATTACTACGCGCCGCCGTTCCAGTGGACTCTACTTTATGTGTTATATGTGCGTCACCATCTCAGTGGGCTCTACTTTATGTATTACTCCGCGCCGCCGTTCCAGCGACGCACCCACCACGCCAACCGACCCCCCTTGCCACTCGTCGCCCGTCAAATTCCTTATTTTTATTTTCAATGTTTTTCAGCTCGCCAACTCTCCTGGCTCATCCCCATATGCATGAAAAACTTGATTCACTTAATTGTTTTAATGGGATTGGCGCGGTGGTAGCGACACGCGACACATGCGGTGCGACCAGTGGCGAATTTAATAGCGGTTTTTGGACGGATTAAAGTTGAATTCAGAGATAAAAAGCAGTGAAGCGGTAAGTGGCATTAGGCTGGAGCGGGGAGTAAATCAGGATTATAAGGAAAAGCGCAGATAATTGGGCAAAGAGCGGCTAGAAAATCTGGTCGCGAGCAGAGGTTAGAATGACAGAGAGAGAGAGAGAGATGGCAGGGACAGAGAACGATGAGGAAGAGCGAACGCGGGAAAACACGAGCAGCGACACGAACGGGAGCGAGGAGAAGGAGGAGGAGGAAAGCACGGTCGATAAGAAGGTGAGAAACAGACGCCCGAGGAACATAGGGACCGTACCCAAGGGCGCTCAAACGAGAAGTCAGAGCAGGGGAAATGTCAAGGCGGGTAAAAAGAGCGAAACCAAAGAGAAAGGAGAGAAAACGAAGAAGGAAATGGCGAAAGTAGATAAAAGGAAAGACAAAAGCTGCGCCAGAAATCTGGAGCAGTACTGGGGGCAACCCCAGACCACAGAGTCAACAGAGGCCTTGGACACACAAAAGACAGAGACAGGGGAAGAGAGTGGAGAGGCAAACGAGGAAAGTGAGGAAGAAGAGCAGCTCTTCCCATTCATCCAGAGAATAGGAGGACTGAAGAGAACCTCCCCACCAACAAGGGAAGGTAAGGACACCCACACAGTTAATTCAGACCTGGACGTATCCCCCACCAGCAACTCGCACGCAGCCCTAACTCGCCTCGCGACCCCAGCCCCTACTATAACCCCGGTCACAATAACACCAATACCAGCAACACCAACATCAACCCCTCAACAGACACCAGCCCGATCCCGATCCCCAACCCCAACACAAGTCACGAGCCAGACCCAACACACACCTGAAGAGAAGGAAGGAATAGCAGAGGAAGATGAGACGAGGGAGAGCAACCAACGCAATCAGCTGGCCCAAGACGTGACTCGGGAACTGGCGAGGGTGCTCGAGGAGTGGAAGATCAAACAAGCCAGAGCAGAAACAGAAAAGTGGGATCATAGGATGGCCGAACTGGAGCAAATGATTAGGATGGAGAGGGCGGAAGAGACAAAGACCCCGATAGGCTGTGAGGAGTGTGGAGAGAGGAAGAGGGAAATTGGAGAGAAAGACGCCGAGAACAAGCTCCTGAGAAGCGAAGTGATGAGACTGCAGATGGCGAACGAGGACGTAGAACGACGGCTAAAAAACAAGCAGGGCGTACTAGATGACTTGGCGGAGGAGTGGAAGAGTCTGAGAGAGCGGAACGAACGATTGAAGGAGCGGCAGAGGCTAGACCAGGAGGGTGAAAGCCCCAGAGATGTACCAGACCCAAGAACTGGCTTGACCCAGGAAAAAGAGGCAGATGGAGAGAATATTAATAAGGACAACAGACCACCAACCAGGGAGTAAAGTACACAAGACGGGCCAGACATGGGGACACAGAAGAACCCAGAACTACCCCCAGACCCAGCACCCAGAGGCCTAAACAAGATAGAATGGGATGAGGAGAAGAAGGCAAGAAGAGAGAGGAAGAAGAGAGTTATAATCCAGGGGCTCACTCTACTAAAGACCAGAGAAAGGAAGGTGGAACTGGAGCAATGGCTGCGGGGCACGCTGGAGCTAGAAGCTAGGGTGGAAAAACTGGACAGATTGCAAGCCTCGACATGGAGAGTGGAGCTGGAAACCTGGAACTCAAAAATGGAGCTGAATGGAGAAGAAGGAGAGACTGAGCGGTCTTGGATGGGGCGTCTGGGTAACAGACGACCTGACAGAGAAACAGAAGGAAGTCCAAGCATGGCTGGAGAGACAAGCTGAAGCCTGGAGAATATGTGGTTACCAGGCAAGCGCTGGCTATCAGAAGCTATGGGTGGATGAGGCACGGCTGGAATGGGATGAACTCGAGGGAGGGCTAAAGTTGAGGAAAGACTCTGAGACGACAGAGGAACACCCGACCTTTCGAGGACGAAGCAGAGGGAGACTCTTAATCAGGCCAGCTGGTGGTAGTACACTGGAACTCACGAGGCATAAAAAACATTCGGAAAAACGTGAGACTTTGGCAAAGTGCCGACGTGGTGATTTTCTAGGATGGTCTGATAGGAACCTGATGGAAGTGAGTGTGGAAAAAACAAAAATCATGGTATTCAGAAATGGAGGCAAAAGGAAGGAAGAGAGCTGGCATTACAAAGGAGCAGAGATAGAAGTGGTGAAAGAATTCAAATACCTAGGCTTCTGGTTCACGACAAGAAACCAATACACCACACACACAGAAAAAGCCGCAGGGAAAACACAGCAGCTAGTGAACAAAGTTGGGGCGAAACCAGAAGGGCAGGGGTGACCAATTTAAGGAGAAGGCTGTACTTTATGGATTCGACGGTGAAGACAGTGGCGATGTATGGGGTCGAAATATGGGGCTGGAAAAGAAGAGAGACAATAGAGAGAATACAGAATAGATTCGTGAAGGCCAGCATGGGACTAGCACGGAACACACCTGGATACATATGGAGAATGGAGGCCAATAGAAGGAGCATTGAAGTAGATGCAATGAGGAGGGCCGGGCTATTCTTAGTAAAACTCTGCTGTATGGGAGAAGAAAGATGGTCGAGGAAGTGCCTGAAGGAAGAGAAGGTTGGGCACTCCTGAAAGAGGCTGGTAGAGGAGTTGGAGAGAGAGAGGCAACCAAAAAGACTGGAGAAAGAAATTACTGGAGGCACTGAAGGGAGAGGCAGATACAGGACTGAGCACAAAGTTGCACAACATAGAGAAAGTGCTGCGGGACAGCGCGCTATCAGGGAACATATAGAGAGTAACAGAGAGATTAGTCTGAAGATTATAGGTGTGACATTGATTGCAACACCAATGTTAGTTTGCTTGTACTTTTTGTTACCAAATATAATATAATATAATGTAAAATAACATAATGTATCAATACGAAGAAGTGGGAGAAAGGCCTGTGGAGATGTAAAACAGCACATGTAGCATCAAGGAATAAAGTATTCTATTCTTTAAAAAGGATCATTATAATATTCTATTCTATTAATTATTTTAATTCAATTTTTCCCAACTTTTAATTGACTTTTATTTGGGCTTCTGACGAAAATTGTTTTAGACACGTTGGTTACACATGGTTGTCGGCTATTTTTGTGTGTCCGGTTTACTCGGTTTTGCCGCTAAGCTCACGGGATGATGCAATTTTCATTCCCTTCCTGGAGATGCTTGTTTTTCCGATTTTTATGTAAATCACTTTAGTTACTTATCATTGTTGCTTGTTTTTCCATTTTCCTCCTCTCTCTGGCCTCAACTCACCCCGTTCACGTCCACGTGGTAATACTGGCTTCCAGTTGAGTTTTTCCTTTTCACTTATACAGTTTATTCGCAGTTTATTTTATTGCGCACTTGAAGCGTGACCGGGAGCCCATAACCTGATGGATTGTTCGGGATTGGGACACAAGAAATGTGCACACAGTATTAACTCGACAAAGATTTATTCAGTGAAGCACGTCACTCGTCTCGCGTTCAGCGTCCAACACGTCTCGTACAGGAATGTACAACCTACACGCCACAACCAGCCTGGGACGAGATCTGCGCATGCGCACGATCTCGTCCCCTTCTCATCTTACACAGATACATCTTATACTACAGATAATATATATATATATGTTTAAGGTTTATTATGGTGACACTGCAATGTTTTGAAGTATAATTCAAATGTATGAATTATAACCTCAAAACCGAACAGCTCTTGGCATGACCCGGGAGCACCACGTGGAGGTGGCTGTTCAAGGCTCCCAAAAAGTTGTTAATTGTGGGTGTGTATTCACAATTTCCAACTGGCGCAATGCTGTAATATGCTGCCTGGTCGGGTTACGCACGGTCGCTATGTTCAGATGGTAAATGACGCTCATACCTTGCTCTACCTCCTCATGCACTTAGATCCGCCGCGGTCCCTTCTGACCGCAAGTTTTATTACAAAACATAAGAACTCCACTTTCGGGAATATTCGCGTCAGATATTCGGACTGAGGTTATCGGCATACTGGAGGGTTCGCGAGGTCGAGGTCAAAGTTGCAGGACGAACACTATACCACACGACGAACGCNCATTCGTCCACTTTTGTTCAATTTTTTTACTCCAAAACATTCTTTTGTGACATCCGTCGAAAAATGCTTTATAATCCGTTTTTCCTAAATAATTTTCTCTATGGAATAACCATTATTTCATAATTTTTATGAACGCATATCTGTAAAGAGAGACAAATGCGAAGATCCCAAAGGTTCCTTGTAGGAATAGAGAAGGTGGAATAATAGATTGGAAAGGGTAACCCAATCAAATGTAGAGACGACACCCATAAAAATTATCCATGTAGAATTAAATCACGAATGAATGAATTTATTTTTTCTTTTTTTAAAATTGTGGAAACTATCAAATATTACAATTTAACAAATTAGAAAGGCATGAGATGTCTGTGAATCTCATTACCGGTTGGCAATAGAAAAATCAGTAACACCTCTGAAAATGTATGAGAAAGTGAATGGGGTGAAACCTACGTTTTGGGGCTAGCCCGGAACCTCACCGTTTAAGAGGTTTCGCGGGTGACTAAGCTGGACAGTGACCATATAGCGGAATTGTGATGCTATGACTCAATTAGGGGAAGAACGCCTAAAAATAACCACAAGTTATGATACGTCAATTAGGGGAAGCAGATAGTTGACTATTCCCTTCACAAAATTTGGAAAAACTAGGCAAGTCCAAACGGAAAACGAGGAGGCCTAATGTCACCTAATCACCAATTAACGAGCTCCATGAAGGGATAGGAGTAACGTCACCACCAATCCCCGAATAATATTCAAAGAAATCCAATAATTAGGCGGATAGCTGCAGAAGACAATTGTAAAAACAGGGGGAAGCTTCTAGAACCTTCCACCCCTGATGACACACTTTCATTTCAATATAAAAAGGGAGCCGCGACGCGGAAAAAGTCAGTTCCACTACACGTTCCAGTTCTTCATCAACCCTTCAGTTGGCTACTTTCATCGATTCTACAAGTGCGATAGTCACAAGTTTAGAATTAGCAGAGACGCCCGTTCTCTGAGTTAGATAAATTCATTCAGTCCTAAAGTGGGGACCCAAGTAATTTTGAAGTAACAATCAAATGTAGAGTTTTTCGTAACTTTACTTATTTAAAATATTCTACGACTTTTTGTCAATGAATAGAATCTTTCATGATTCTTTGATAATTTATATTGCCAACTGAAAATATCGGAACTCAATTAGCATCTTGGAACTCAAATAATTATTATTCATTCATTCAAAGTAATTAAAACGACATTATTGTAAACGAATAACTTTAGAATTAGGAAACGACAAACCCGTACAAGCACAACGAGAAGAAGGTCACGTAAGTTGTACGACCATCATTATAATTGTAAACTCACCAAAATTTCAGAATATAATTGTTCAGATTTAAAATTCTTTTATTTAAAACTAACGCCTTGTGTTTCCAGCCAAGACACTTTCCCATTGATAATACTGGGGAATAATCAACTTCAATTCAAGGGGAACTTATTATTCAACTCTCTAGTGATTTGTTTTCTAACATTTGCCAATTAAAATTTATTTCAACAAGTTTTCATACTTTTCATATCATTTTCACATGACAACCAATGTTATATTCGAGATTTCATCATTCCCAACATAACATTTCTTGGGGGCTCGTCCAAAGCTAAAACGCCTCAATCACCATATTGAGTTAATTTTCAAGTTGTTTCTAGACCAAAAGATAAAAAATCACAAATATATAAAAATAAAAAAAATTCTTGAAATTCCGTTCATCGCGAATAAGAATAATTTTGCGCTGAAATACTTGATATTTGATAAAAATGTGCATAAATGTCAGGAAATTTTTTTTCATTTTTCGGGAAAAGTAAAACAAAGTACCATACTGATATATCTGCCCGTGTTTCTCCTCCTAAAGCGCAAGATGTTTCCAAAATTGAATCGAAAAAAGAATCTGTCGAGAAACCGCAAAATCCTGTCGCGTTAAGTGGAGCCGACCGCCAATTATTTGATCAATTAGCATCAACTTCGCATGAGAAAGAACAATCGAAATTGAGAGAAGTGGTGAAGACAAATGAAAATTTTAATCTAGTCACACCAACTTCTCAATCGTCAACTTCCGACGAACGTAAAAATACTCCTTATACAAGAGTATACTCTTGTATATAAAAAACCACCTAGAGTAACTCAAAGTTTAAATGATCTTCAAAAAATACCAACAACAGGGAATTTGAATGTCCGTGCAGGAAGCGGATCAAATTTACAGAAATTGAGAAACGAAGCCCAATTAAATTTACGAAAATTGAGAAGCAACGCAGGTGAATTGTTAGGTCCTTATACTCCACCAAAGCGAAAATC